GTCAGATATGTACAGCTGCACAGACATTTTATGGCAACCGTAACAGTGACAGTAGTACATTATGTATATGTCCACGCTTGGAACTGTACAATGGTATAAACGAGAAATAACAATTTGGCTGTCATGAAACCGGGATCACGGCTAATAATAGATTAAGAACCCTAAACGACCAAGTGGAAAATAACTAAAGAGCACGTTCAAGAGAGATATGACAATGCAGTGAGATCGTGCACGAGTAACGCACAGGTCAACTGTGATATCGTAGAAAGCAAAAAGACGACAGTATACGCAGATGCAGAAGTTCCAGTGTAATGAACCTTTCTAGGATGGTGACGCTAGTTGACCAGCCAGTGTGAAGATATGGGCTGTAAATTATTCGGTGGCGAGTCACATAAGCCACGTTGCAGTGTTGTTAAACGGACATTTGTGGTTTTTTATAGGGAGGATGCTTGCCAGGCGAAAACCCACCACGTCCTGAAACACTGCCGTCAATCCATTGAATGGCAAGTTGTAACTGGCTATGTTTATGGTTGAACGTTTGTTTGCTCGGTTATTCGCAGTCAGGTTGCGTCCCATTTTTCTGCCGGCTGGTGCGATAGCCGGGTGCCAATTGTGTTTCTGAGTCCTGTCCTGTTCCCAATTGGTAGGTCGGGAACTAAACATTCCTTTTGAATATTATGTGCTTATCCTCTTCAGAACCACGTGAAGTCTCCGAGGGATATAAATTGTAATGTGTTGAATTGTTATTGTTGTTGAGGCACTTGCAATTAAGCTGTGTATTGCCTGCGCGTAACTTAACCTTGTGCTAGTCTAGAACCCCCTACAGCGTTGCTAATGCCTCGTTAGTTGCATCAGTGTGCACTCGGACACTAGGTGGTTAGTGATGGTGGAGTATAATTTTCCGGCTTTAACTGGCAGAACATCTTCTGCGACGCTGTTACTAGGTGTTTGGCTACCGAGCTTCGCCACGTGAATTTGCATGCTTCCTGGCACCAGCTTGTCCATCGGCCTACTAGCTTTTGGATAGTCAAAACCCGTCATCCCTACGCTTGTTTTTCGCTAAATTCATTGATTTTGGCACGGATATTGTGTACAACCACCACTGGGTGCCAGATGTCGCGCATGTCTCTCATGTAAGTGCGCCCTTAGTCGTCACAATAATGATAGTCCCGGCCGAGTTCCAAACATATGGCGCAGACTTACAGCCAATGAAAGCCAAGGCCGCAAAGTTGCCGTGTGTCTTCTTGGAAAATGCAGCCATGCAAACGGCCAGGGTTAGATTTAAAGCGTACTTGCGTGATCCTCTCCCCATATACCACAGTCTGGCAGGAGTAAAACTAAGGCAAAGCCACCTTGGTTTTATTCTGCTGCACGCCAACAACAACAGACGTGCCAGGTATTGGTGCAGTTATTTATTTACTTCTTTGTCTTGCACACTTAAGTGTTCCCGCAAGACACCATTTGCCTGCAGACAGAATCTACGAGGTGCACGTACACAGCCGGGCGTACAGCTTGCTTGCACAGACTCAGCAAAACCAAACCGCTTCTCCGCTTACGTTAAAAGGCGGAGCAACATGAAAACGTGCATCCCAGTGTTGTTTGCCCCTGGCGGCGCTGCTGCTGTCACAGGTCAAGGAAAATCTAATTTGCTTGGAGTACAGCATGGTGGGCTTTAGGTTAGATGGTCTCCGCTGCCGCGTATCACCTTGCACGCGAAACTTCCTGAGGGCTCCCAGTTGGAGGAAGTGTCGATAACCGGGACTCAAATGCTCCGGCTTCTAAGGGAATTAAATCCTAAACAAAGGTGCCTTTGGGGATGCTATTCATTACAAACTGTTGTACGAGTTAGCTGATGAAGTTGCCGGCCGGTTACGCAAGTTTCTGTAAAGTCTCTACGAGGTTGCTCTCTACCCACTAACTGGAAGGAGGCTGTTGTTTGTCCCAATGTTAAAAAGGTGATAGGCACCTTCGTGGTAACTATATACCGGTCAGTTTAAAAATCGTGCTGGCCAACCTGTTGAAAAACCTCGGAAAGGTGGTTCTCCAAGGACACTTGAGTACAGCTGAGTTGCTTAATTCTTCCCAGCACGGCTTTCGTAAGGGCTATACTTGCCATACTAATATCTTAACGGCGAGGGAACACAGTGCCGCAGCCGTTGCATGTGAGAAGGTGGTAGACGTGTTGTAACTTGACTTTTCCAATGCTGTTAACACCTTTCAACGGTCGCGTCTTCTGTACAAGCTAAAGTCCTACGGTAGTTCTGTATCAGCCTTACGATGCTGTTCAGCTTTCTTAATCGGAAGGCAAATATGTGAGGGGTCGGTTGAGGTCTGTGCTTCCGCCAGTGTGTTCTCAGTGGCGTTCCGCAAGCTTCAGTTTTAGATACCTTTCTCTGCACTTTATACATTAATGACCTACTTTATGAATTGGGGTGCCAGCCTCAAGGTTTGCGGATGATCTGAAACGCTGGTTCACGGTAGACGATCCGACTGTTCCACGGACAATACTGAAGGCGCAGGATAGACTTTGGGTCTGGTCCCTTTTGTGACAGTTGCCCGTTAAGTTAGCGCAAAGTTCACTTATACGCGTTGGTTTGAATAATGCGTGACGCGTTTTTTGCTTGGCGGCAACGAGGTACCCCGGGTTCCACTCCAAAGGGACTTCGGGGTTTGCTGTTATCAGACTTCAAGTTCAGGAAGCACTGGAAGAAAGTTGTTTAAAAAGCTTTCAACAGGTTGTGCACTATCCGCAGGTCATTCGAGATCATGAAGACCTTAATGTTTGTCAGACTATTTTCGGCTTTTGTAAAGCCGCACTTGGAATGCCGCGTTCAGGCTTGTCCTGCATGCCTGATACATGATATGATGGTAGTAGAACAAGTCCTGCGGTCGGGGAAGAAAATAGTGCACGGAATAACGTAGCTAACTTACCTGGAGAGGCTGCGTAAGCTGCATATGTTTTCTGTGTATTACAAGCGGCTTCGGCGCGGCTTGGTCCTTACATATCTCATAAAGATAAGTCAGATTGGTACTGAGTTGCCTAGACTATTTCGCCCAAGTCGAGCGCCAACTCTTCGTGGCCACTCATTAAAGTTGAACAAAATTCGTTGCGACAGAGTTAGGACAGCTTTTTGAGTAACTCGTAGGGTCATATGTTATTGTAATACACTGCTTGCAGACGTCATGATGGCGCTGATGGTGAAGTAGTTCGAGCATCGCTTTGGAGCTCTCGGACTGCAGTTTTAAGTTCTCCCCTTCAGGTCATAAAGGTTTGCTCGTGTACTACGGCCTGCGCTTCTTTGGCATATTTTAAGTTACATCTTAAGATTGCCTACGAAATTCGATGAGCTAGTATTGGCCACTGTTTCTTTTTGTTTACCAACCCTACTGTTTTATTTTATTCTTCACTTGGCCGAAAAGCTGGGTCTGCTGGTGCAGGGCACGTGGGCACGGGTTGGTTGACCAGGCGACTCTTGTGTGTTGATTTGGCTCTCCTTTAACACATCAATGCACTGGTTTCTTTGTCAGATAAATGTCTTTTTTAAGGTGCAACATTCGTGAGATTTTCCTACCGTCCCGAACTTACTTGAACTTGAACCTTTTCTGCCGGGTACACGTTAGGCGTGACATGCAGCGGCCTTGTGTCCACCTACCGTTCTTACCTTGAGATATAAAAGCGCTGTTTTACATGTTGCGCTTTTTGTTGTATACGCTCGACTGCGCGCCTTATCATCTGCTAATGGAGGGTATACCAGCGTGCAGCAGTGTATGCTTCCAGTACCTGCGTCGCAAGTAGACCACCTGGTTGCTTGGAGTGGAGGCTCATTTGCTGGGCCACAAGTTGTTATTTGGACTCGACAGCACTAATCGCGTTAAAAGAAGTGTAAGTATGTGAAGTAAACTTTAAGTGAGCGGTCAACTCTACTGCAACTGGTTCAGGGGATGATGCAGTGGTGCAGTGGAAGTTTGGAGGAGAGGGAACCGGTGAGTGCAGGAGAGTGGTTTGGTATGTGCGACGTTAAGCACCGTGTAACCGGTAGGGAGTTGAGTTTAACGAAAACGTCTTCAGTCGGCAGTACATGAGGCACAGTCTAAGATTTTGCATTTGCAGCGTGAATCCGGACGGCAGGTAGTAGGCAGTAAATGAAGAGCGCCGGGTTGCATGCAGCGTGTGCTCACAGAGAATGGCAACGCGTGCGGATGTCGCTTTACTCGTCAGTGACGCATTTCACGTGCACACATTGTGCCGGGTGCTAGCCTGCATGTATACAAGGAAGTGGTAGTGCACCTTGGTCGTCATTGGGTGTCGCCAACAAAAAATATTGGTGACGCTGACCTGTCGGAGTGCACGGATGGAACATTGCCGGTCATGCAGATGCCAACCCGTAGTGGAGTGGTGCATGATTGCTTTTGAAAAATTCGAATCGCTTTTGATATGTTTGGTGACGTGGAGGCGCATATGTGGTGTACGGGCACGGAAGAGTTCACCCGCACGATGGACGTGATGGCATACTTTCGGTGCTTCTAGTGAGTCACCGTAAGGTGGAAGTAGTTGACCGTTCATCCAATGTGCAACATTTGTGGCGGTTACTGTAGGAGCACCTGCCCATATTCCAACCTTTGTGTGCGGCATCCTCCGAAGCTGCTGCTTCGGTGGGGTCCCTGCACCTTTCTTCGTTGTTGAGGCATGCATCGGTGACCTACGGTAATCAAGCGTCCCGTTCAGCGCGGCAGGCACTGTGGGTTCGCAGATCGTTGAGGGTACCGGCAGGCATAATACAAGAAAATCACCTGCGGTACTTCGTGTGGTCGTCTTCGCGGTTAGCAGCAGCATGTCTAGCGGATTAAAAAGCTGTATGTCGAAAACTAGAAATTCCCCTCGGGAGCAGGGCGGCAGCGGCTAGGGTCCCCCTCGGCGCCGGAGGCGCCCCTCATATCCATCGGGTCCGGCGGGGGCGCCTGGACGCCACCGGCCGCCGTGGAGGCGTTCCCCCCCTCGAATGCGGTCTGCGGCGGGTCGGCGAGCGGGGCGGATCCGGGCGTCTTACCCGCGTGCCTCCCCGCCGCACTGCCTCCGACGCCTCGACGGAACTGAGGTCGGCCAGTCTCCCCCTCGGGGGCTGCCCCTCCCCGGGGGACGGCCCGGAGCCGTCAGACGGTCACGCGGTACGCGGCTCAGATGCTCAGGCCGCGCAACTCTGCGGGGGCCGTCGGGCAGCACGCGCAGCGCGGCGGACCGTGGCTCGGTAGGGGACACGCGAGTCTGGGGGGAGGGCGGGACGCCGCTCCTCGGGGGGGGGGTCCAGGTCGGAGGCGGGCGGGGCGCGGGGCGGGCAGGCGGCGGGCGACGTCGCTCTGTGGGCGCGCGGCCAGGGCGGCTCGCGATGCGTCGCCGCGCGCGCCTCGGACGAGTCCCCCTACTATTCCCCTCCCCCCCCCTCAGGCTTCGTCCGGCTCCGGCGCCGGCCCTGGTCGGCGGCGCCGCGACGGCGGGCCCGCCTCGGGAGCTCCGATGACCCGCGCCCTCGTCGGCGCGGGACTCGTCCAAAGGAGTCGGTCTGGCCTCGTCACGAACACGGGCGGTGAAGAGCTGCCGCCGGACAGAAGGCGAGGACAGTGGCCCACCGTCACGTGCCGCCGGGCTCGTACGAACGCTTGCAGGGCGGTCGAGGTCGCCGCGGGGTGCCCGCGGCCTCCAGCTCGCGGCCGGCCTGCAGGTCGGGCTGGGTCGGTCCGGGCGCCGGTTGGGCCTCGGGCCGGGTCCGCTTCTCGGCCGGGCCTCGTCGGGGGCGTTCGCGCCCCCGTCCTTGTGACTCCTCCCCTCGGGACGGCGCGGCGCCTCCGCGCGTCGCGATCCCCATCTCGTCCGCGCGGGCCGGCAGCTCGTCCGGAGTCGGCGGTCACCGGCGTTGACCGGCTCACGGCCGAGTTGGGCGGCTCGTGGTCGGCCGACCGTGGGAGCCAGGCGCGGCGGGGGCCCCTCGCGCGTCCGCCTCCCCCGCGCTGGCCGTCCGGAGGGTCGGATCGCGTTCGGGACTCGCTGGATCGCGTCCGAGCGAGGTTCCGGGGGCGTCACCGCCGCCGGCCCGCGTCGTCGGGGCGACTCACGTCGGAGCTCATCGGCCATGGCTCAGCCGGTGCGGGCCCGGACAGTCGGCCGCTCGTCGTTACCCCCCTCGGGGGCCTCGCTCGGCCGCGCACGGGGACGGAGAGTCGCCGCCGGACGGGGGGGCGGTCGGCCTCGGGTCGGAGAACCACGGCGCGGGCTCGGCGCAGGCGTACGTGGGGCGCGGGGGCGGGGTCGTGGGGCGAGCAGACGCCGAGGCGCGCGCTCGCACTCGGCGGGCTCGGCGTTCCTCGGCCACTGAAGGCTCCTGGGGCCCTCTGGACTCGACTCGGGTTCCCCCTCGGACACGGGGCCCTCGCGGGACGGAGGCGGGCAGTGTGCCCGAGCCCTCGCCTCGCAAGCCGTGCAGGGCAGCCGAGAATTCCCCTCCGCCCCCCTCCGTGCTCGGCGCGGGCCTCGGCCTCGAGGCCTCGGGTGCGGCTCACCCCACTCGTAAGCTCGTCTAGCCTCAGGCTCGGGCCCGGGCGCGGGGGGGCGGGCTCGCGGGCTCGTACCTCGCGCGGAACGGGTCGCTGTCGTAGTCGGGTCCGCACCGTCCGGGGCCCGTCGGGCGCCCCTCGCCTCGTCGAGGCCGAGAGTGAGACGGTCCGAAGCCAGAGGGGTGGCGACGGGAGGCCGCCGAGGGCGCGGGGGGGTCGAGTGTCCCCATCGGGCTCGGCTCGCGGGCTCGATCCGTCGCCATCTCCCTACTAGTAGGGTCGGTAGGGATCGTGCCAGTCTTCGGGTGGGGCCGGGGCGGACGTGCGGCGGGGGGTCGGGCGCCTCGTCGGCCGGGTCCGACTGGGACCTGAGGCTACCCTCGGGAAGGCGCGTCGGTCGGGCCGCTCCCTCGCGGACTCCGGGGGGCGGGCGCGGGCGCGGTGTCGTCACGAGTCGGGACGGTGCCCCTCGCGGACGGCGCCGGTCGGCACGGGGCAGCGGATCGCTCCCGCGCCGCAGCGACTCCGCGACGGCCGCCGGGCGCGGTCTCCTCGGGCTCTGGCGCCGGCCCGACCCCGGGGGCCGACTAGGGGCCGCGCGGGGCGTCGGGGCTACCGCGCTAGGCTCGCCGCTTCCCCCCCCATCGCTCGGGGGCTGGGCTGTCAAAATCGAGAGTCCGGCGGCTCGGCGGGGAGGCGTCCAGCCGCCTCTCAGGCAGCGTGCCGTGAGGGGGTTCCAGGCGGCGGGGGGGGCTAGACAGCTCCGGTCTCGGCGATGGGGCGCGTCCCTCAGCGGGTCGGGGTCCCCTCAGTGAAGTCAGCCGTGGCGCCAGCCACCGCGAAACGTCGGTCTTCAGCGGGTCCCTCCGTCCCCCCTCGGGGGGGGGGCAGATCAGAGGAATACGGTCCGCACATCCCCGCTCGTGGCGTCTCGGCCTGACGGCGTTGGCCCGGCGCCCGCGCCGGGCTCGCACACGGGCGCGCCCGCATGTGGCTGACCCTCAGTGGCGTTGGCGGCCGGACTCCGACGTGTCTCCGCCGTCGGGGGCGCCGCACTGCCGCTCGCGGGTGGGGGCCCCTCGTCGGGTCGCGCGGAGTGGTCGGGTAGGCGGCGCGCGGGCGGCGGGGGGGCGGATTCGCTGCGGCGCGCGCGCGGGGCAGCATCGCGGGGCGCCGGCCGTGGCCCTCGGAGCCGAAGACCGAGGGACGGGAGTAGGCGGCCCTCCGCAGGGTCCCCTCGAGCGCCCTCCGCTTCCGGGGCTCGGGCGCGCTCTGTCCGCTAGATGCGGCTCGCGCGAACGGCGCCCTCACGGATCGGCATTTCGGCGTCCCCCTCGGGGTACGGGGAGGTGGAGTCTGTGTTACGCCTGCCGGCTGGCCTCCGACGTCGGCGGTCGGCGGGCATCAGGGCCCGGCCCCACGTCGAGAGGAGCGGTCGCCCGGCCGGCGCCGCGGCTCAGGGCTCGGGGGCCGCCGGGCGCCGTCGGTCCTCCCCCGCCCTCGGTGGACTCGTCGCTCGCTCGTGCACCGCCCTCGCGGAGGCCCCCCTGACGTCGGCTTCCGCAGGCGCACTCGCCCTACCTGCGGCGGCGGGGCCGACGCCAAATGGCTGGCGGGCGCGCGACCGCTCAGCGGCTCCGGTCGGCAGGAGCCCGCGATGCTCGCCGACGTCTTGCGGGTGGTCTGGGATGGAAAGGCCCAGCCTCCCTTTCCCGCCTCGCGGCAGTCGCCGAGTGTCGTCGGCGCTGTCCGCAGTCGGCCAGCTTCCCGTCGGGGGGAGTCGAGGCGGAGGCGGCAGGTCGCGCTCGGGCCGATCCCCCACAGTGACCCCCTCGGTCGGCGGGAACTGAGGGTGCGAGTCGGGCCGAGGCGGGGGCAGCGCTGTTTCAAAATTTCCCCCTCTGGTGGCTCTGTGGAGGACGCAGGGCGCCCTCAGGGCATTGCGCGACAACACTTCCGTCTGGCTGCGGGTGCTCCGGGGGGGAGAGCTCGGAGGCCTGCAGCTCGTGGCGAGTAGTGGAACCGGGAAGGGCGAGTGCTCGATGCAGGTCAGTTCGGGGCGACGCGGCATGGCCCCTCGCTGCGGCGACCGGAGCCGCCGGGGGGGGGCCGGCGCGCGTGGCGGCGGGAGTGGGGCGCAGTCGGAGGGGCGCCGCCGCCGGTCTTTGGGGCGTCAAGCGCGGAGGCCTATTAGGGGAGGCGGGCACGGGGCGCTGGCATGGCAGCGCGCAGGCGGCCACCCTCGCTGCCTCGTCGCGTGCCGACGTGCGCTCCCGCGGGTCCGGGTTCGGCAGGACGGGGCGAATGTAGGCCCAGTCGGGCGCAGGCGGGCCGGTGAAAGCCACAACGCTCGGCGGATCTGAGGGCCGAGAAGCTCCGAGGAGCTCTCGGGTCCGACTAACGGGGAGGCGTCGTCGGTCGGGGTGCGCGCCGGCGCAAGCGGCGAGTCGCTGGTTCGGTCGCGGTCGGGTCCGGGATCGGTTCGGGCTGTCGTGCGCTGAGGGGCGGCGCCCCTGCTCGCGGGTGCGGGCTGCGCGCGCGGTCGTCGAGCGCCGCGTCCGCCCCCGCGCCGCCTCGGCGCCTCCGGCGTGGACGCGGCGGGCCCGCAAACGCTCATTCATCCGGCCGGTCGGGGAGCCCCCCCCCCCTCGCGAGTCGACGCTGCCCACAGGGGAGACGGCGGCGCCTGCTCGGCCTCGACTCGACGCATCCGGCGTCGGGTCGGGGGGGGGGTGAGAGCGGGGGCCGGCACCGGCCACCGCTGCCCGCGTGATCGCGCGCTCCGCCGGGACGCCGGGGCCGCGATCCAGGCGGGTCGTTCGAGGGGTACCGCAGGACCTCAGATGAATGCAGGCAGCGGCCTCCTCCGAGCGCCGGCGTCCGTGGCACCGGTCACGTCGGTTGGTCGGGCTCGTCTCATTCGCGCCGGTGGGTGGTCTGTCTGCGTTGGATGAGTGTGGACTCCGGGCGCCCCCTCTCCTCACGCCGTGCCGGGCACCAGGACTCGGGAGTCGCCACAAGCGGCGAGCCTCGGACTGCTCCCGCGGGAGGCCAGGGGGAGCGGCCTCGGGCGGGCGCGCCCAGCCGTGACGCCGCGTGGCCGCCGCCCGGCGCGGCTGGCTCGCGGAGGTCCCTCGGGGGTCGGTGCGGCGCCCTCGCGCGGCTCGGGCCGGTGGTAGCGGACGGGGGCCGGGTAACAAGTCGTTCGGCTCCTCGTGCCGGGGCGGGGGGGCCCCCTTCTGAGGCGAGGCCGGTCGAGGGACCTGGCGCAACGGACGGGTCAGGTGTCTCTGTTGTCGCGCAGAACGGCAGCTGTGGTGCCTGGCGTGGGTCGTTGGCGAGGATCGCGGGGGGGCGGCGACGGACGCTCGTTGGCAGATCGGCGCCGCGGCCGACCGGATCGGGCGTCAAGTGCGCGGGTCCGGACCGGCCTCGGTAGGGGTTGCGCCGGGAGGGAGGCATTTTGGTCGCCATGCGACGGCAGGGGCCCCCTCGCCCCTCGGGGCCTGGCGCTGAGACGGCTCACTCGCCAGGAGAGCGCGACCCCTGCGATCAGTGGGACGCCTCCGCCGGCCTGCGAGGCCGCTCACGGGGTTCGAGCACCTCCCCTCGGGGATGCGCCGGGCAGGGAGGGTCCCCCCTCCGCGGCGCGGGAGCGCGACGTCAGCTCGAGCAGGCCGGTGCAGGCGCTGGCGGGGGTCGACGTCCCCTCGAGGCGCCCCTCGCGGACGCGGTCTCGGGCGCAGAGAGGTCGCTCACCCTGGGGGGTCCAAAAGAGTGCTCTGCGCTGTCGTAGCGTCTGAGAGGGGGGGGGAGGGGGTGGCCACCGCGGGGGTGGGGTGGTGGTGGTCGGGGGGGGGGGGGGGGGGGGTCGCGGGGGGGGGGGGTGAGGGGGGGAGACGGTCCCTGGGGGTCCGCGGCGAGGCGGCGGCCGCTGTTCGGGGGCGCCCGGGTCGGGGATGCGCACCAGGCGCGGGCCCCTCGCCGTCGCCTCGACTCTCGTCCGGGGTCGTGCGCCCTCGCCGGCCGCGCTCGTCGCAGGCTGGTATCTCGTGCCTCGGCACTGCTGGCGCCCTCCCGGCAGAATCAGCCGCGGGTTTGGCGAGCTCGTGTGCCCCTCGCGGGACGCTTGTGCTGGGTTGGAGGGGCGTGCGAGGCGCGTCCTGGCGGTATCGATCTCGGCAGTCTCCGGCGCGCCAGTCCGCGATCCACTCCGGCCAGTCTAGCAGCTGGCCTTCGCCTAGCGCGTCGCTGGGAGCGCCGGCCGGTCTCGCTGATTGGCGGGGCGTAGCGGGGCGTCACCGGGGCTGTGTCGCGTAGTTGCGGTCGCGCGGGGCCCCACTCGATTCGGGGCTCGGGCCCCTCGGTCCCCTCGCGGTGCGGGCTGACCGCTGAAGCGAGCCAGGGCGGTGCCCCTCGGGCGGGGGAGCTCTGGCGCTGGGGTCGCTCCGGTCGACCGGGTGAAGTCGGCTCCGCAGGTCGCGTCGCGCGGCGCGCGCGTGGCTTCTGCCCCCTCGGCGCATCGCGTCCTCCGACTCACTGCGGAGAGTGAGGGGATCGTGCTCGCGCGCACGTCCGCCCGCGACCGGTGGACAGGGCGCGGCGGAGGCATCTCCTGATCCGGACGTAGCCGGCTCCGCTGTCCCTCGGGCTCTCGGCCGCAGGCCGTCGCGGACCGCGTCCCCCTCGGTGGGGGGGGCGTGCGCGCGCGTTCTGGGCGTACGGGGCCACCCTGCTACGCCGCGAGGCTCCGCCGCAAGGTGATGGCGTGACGGAGGGTGCACGGGGTGCGGGCCGGACGGGCCGGCGCAGCCGTGGCAGCGTCGGATCCGGGCGAGGGCATGCGCGGCAAACGCGGCTCTGGGGGGCCTCCGAGCGGCCGTACGGGGGGCTGCGCGGCAGGCGCTCGCGCCTCTCGCCTCGTCAGGGAAAAGTCGACCCCGCGCGGCGCTCTCGGAGCCCCTCCGCGCGGGCTCTCGCGAGCCTTCTCAACGTCGCTCGCCGGCCCTCTCCCCTACGATCTGCAGCGTTCCCCCTCGCGCGGGCGCAGGGGTCGGGCTGGCAGGACTCACGGCGCGGGTTCCGGCGGCCGGCGGTCCGAGACTGCGCGGCGTCGGCTGTTACGGGGCGGGCGCGCGACGATGGCCCTCGTTGGGACGGGGGCCGTACGCGCTCCTCGTTCGGGCGTCGGTTGCTCGCAGGCCTCGACCGGGCGGAAAGAGCTCGCGGTCATGTCTGCCCCTCGATGGACGCTCTCCCCTCGACGACTCGGCCGCGCCCCCCTCGGCGCGCCCCGTCGGCGGTTCATGGTGGCCGCGTCCGCACACGCCCGGTTTCCCCCCCCTCGGGCTTCCGTCTGGTTACCGTGCGGGCTCCGGGGGGCGGCGCCTCGGGACAGACGTCGGCTAGCGATGTCGGCAGAGGCGGGCCGGGTTCAGGCCGGGTCCGATGCGGCGCCCGCGCGACCGGTGCGAACCCCCCCTTACGGGGGGGCAAACGTGTCGTCCCTCGAGCACGCGGGGGGACCCCTCGCAGCGTCGAACCGAGGGCGGTCGGAGGGCCCGGCCCTCGTGCTCGGCGGCCCCTCGTCATGCATCCCCCTCGGGCCGCGAGCTCGCACGTGCCCCCTCCCGCCGCGGACGCGGTCGCGGTCCGCGGCGGTCCGGGCGCAGCTGCAGGTTGGGTGAGTCCTGACGCCGGCCCGTCGGCGCGGGCGGCGGCGGGGGCCCCCCTCGCCACGCGGCCGCTCGGTCCCCCCGCCGGGGGATGGCGGGTCGCCGCGCGCCGCAGGGGGGGGCACAGGAGCGCCGCGTCTACGTGTCCCTCGGGGCCGGCCGCCCGTGTGGGCCCCTCGTGGATCAGCGGCCCCTTCGCAGTTACTCGCGGGCGCGCTCGCGTCACGTCCGGCTCCGGCCCGCCTCGCCCTCCGCAGAGCTACGTCGGTGGCAGAGGGCGTCGCCGGAAGGGTCCGGCCGAGGACTGTGGGCGCAGCAGGAGGCTTCGCACGAGGTCGGCTGGCGCGCGTAGCCCGGCTCGGCATCGGCAGGGCGCGCGGCGCGCGGGCACAGACGCGCGCGTGCCGGGTCCGACCGACCCGAGGGGGCTCTACGCCCTCCGTCGCGGGCTCAAGTGCGCGTCTACGGTCGGGACGCGGCCACCGGTGGGTGGCGTCACTACCTCGGCCGGGCGATGCCGAAGCACTGTCTCTGCCCCGCCTTCTACCCGTGGCGGCGACGGCTGCAGTGTCGCGGCCCTCAGCGCGGCAGACGGGCGGTTCGCGCGCCGGTCGTCCGCCGGGGGGGAGGCCACTCCATGCGGGTGCTGCTGGGTCGGCCCCCTCCGGGTCCCCTCGGCGTACGCCCCCTCACGGAGGGGCGCGCGAAGCAGTATCCGCCAGTCCGCGCCCTCCTCGCAGGTTCCAGTGGGCGGGCGTAGAGGACGGGAGTCGGACGCGCGGGGGGCAGGCGGGGATGGGCCCCTCGAACGTGAGGCGGGAGGCGGGGTGCAGCTTCGTGCCTTCCGCCCTGCCGGCCGATACCGACGCACCGGGCCGTCCGCGTTGTGCGGGTCCAACGTCGCAAAGTGCTGCGGCGGGACTCGGGGGGCTGCGTGTCACGCCCTCGGGGATGCGGACGGGGCACGCGGCGGCAGTTGGGGCCCCTCGGTGGTGGTGCTCTGGGGGCGCTCGCTCGCTCGGAGCTCCCCGGGGTCGGCGGGCGGGGGCGGCCGCACGGCGTGTGCGCGGGCCCCTCCCCCTCCGCCGGCTCCTCCCGGCCGCGGGCATCGGGGGACGGTCCCCTCGCCGGGGGGCCATCGCTCACGGCGAGCGGGCTGTGCGTCGGGAGGGCGGTCCAGGCCTCGTCAGGGGGCATCGCGCCTCGTAGGTCGAAGTCCGGGCAGCGAAGGCTCATGGCCGCAAGCGCTGAGGCAGCGCGGGGTGTGGGCCTGGGCCCCTCGGGGCCCGTCACGCGCGACCCCTCCCCCGATGCGCGAGAGGTCGGTCCCCCCTCCAGTCGCGTTGACCCTCGCTCGGGGCCGGGGGGCGGCCCCGACATGCGGACTGCCGCAGGATCCCCTCGTGACGCCGCGCACCCCCCCCCCCTCCCGTAGCGGGCGGGTCGTGCGGGGCTCGGCTCCATGCGCGGTTGCTAGCCAGGGTCCGTCAGGGGGCGGGCCAGCCCTGTCGGTGGGGGCTGGCGCCAGCCTCCGGATGGGCGGGCGCGCACGTACCATCGGAGGCATGCTCGAGACTCAGGGGCACGGTGGACGCTCGTGGTCGCGTGTGATCGCTGGGGGGGGCGGAGCGGCGCGGCGGCGCCTGTCCGGTTCCCCTCATGCGGGTGGGGGCGGCCCGGCTCGGCGGGCGTCGGCGAGGAGAGGGCACTCGGCGCACGCTCCGACCATCGCGGGGGCGTCGGGGTAAGGTCGGGGGATGAGGGGAGCGCGTCGCATTCCCACGTCTGGGCCGTCCGCCGATCGTCTGTGCGCGAGTTGGTGGCGCACGCTGATCGGTGTGCCCTCGCTTTGTCCGGTCAGCCTGGGGTACCAGCTGTGCCACGGCCTCTCGGGCCCACGCGTGTCGGGGGGGGGGGGCGGGGGGCGGGGGGTTCCATTCCCTCGGGCGCGCGGGGGGGGGAACCGGGAGGCCTCCGTCAGTCGGACTCCGGTCCGCGGCCGGCGGGGTCCCCCTACGGGGGGTGTGGGGGTGGGGGGGCGGGGCGGCCGCGGTGGGGGGGGGTTGTGGGGGGGGGGGTTGGACGGGGGGGGTTCGGTGGGGCGGCGGGGGGGGGCGGGCGCTCGCAGTCTGGCGTCCCGGGCGGCGACGGGCGATGACGGGCGAGGTGTCGTCGCCGGGCGACGCGGACTGCACCCTTCCCCTCCCGGCAGCCGGACCCCCCACGGAGGACTCGGGAGAGTGGGGGGGGGGGGGGGGGGGGGGGGCGGGGGGGGGGGGGGCGGGGGGGGGGGGGGGGGGGGGGGGGGGGGGGGGGGCGGGGGGGGGGGGCGGGGGGGGGGGGGGGGGGGGGGGGGGGGGGGGGGGGGGGGGGGGGCGGGGGGGGGGGGGGGGGGGGGGGGGGGGGGGGGGGGGGGGGGGGGGGGGGGGGGGGGGGGGGGGGGGGGGGGGGGGGGGGGGGGGCGGGGGGGGGCGGGGGGGGGGGGGGGGGGGGGGGGGGGGGGGGGGGGGCGGGGGGGGGGGGGGGGGGGGCGGCGGGGGGGGGGCGGGGGGGGGGGGGGGGGGGGCGGGGGGGGGGGGGGGGGGGGCGGGGGAGGGGGGGGGGGGGGGGCGGGGGGGGGGGGGGGGGGGGGCGGGGGGGGGGGCGGGGGGGGGGGGGGGGGGGGGGGGGGGGGGGGGGGGGGGGGGGGGGGGGCGGGGGGGGGGGGGGGGGGGGGGGGGGGGGGGGGGGGGGGAGGGGGGGGGGGGGGGGGGGGGGGGGGGGGGGGGGGGGGGGGGGGGGGCGGGTGGGGGGGGGGGGGGGGGGGGGGGGGGGGGGGGGGGGGGGGGGGGCGGGGGGTGGGGGGGGGGGGGGGGGGGGGGGGGGGGGGTGGGGGGGGGGGGGGGGGGGGGGGCGGGGGGGGGGGGGGGCGGGGGGGGGGGGGGGGGGGGGGGGGGGGGGGGGGGGGGGGAGGACGGTCCATGCGGGGGAGCCGGACCGCGCGGGGCCCCCATCGTCGAGCTCAGGACTGTGGGTTAGATCCGTGGCGGCCGCGGGGCCTGTCCGCTCAGGGGTCGGCGGGAGTCGCCGCCTCGGCGCGGGGCTCGGTCGGTTCCGCCGGAGGGGGGGCGAGTCCGGCTTCGGGCTGCTCGGGCGTGGGGGAGAGAAGCCTCAGGGGCGAAGTGCTGCGTGTCGGGACGGGACGCGCCCTGAGGAGGCGGCTGGTGGGGCGGTACAGACGGCGTGGGTGGCTGGGGTCCCCTCGACGCGGATTCCCCCTCGGGTCGCGCATTCCCCTCGACGGCCTCCAGCGGTCGGCGCGGTGGCGGTGGCTCGCTAAGGAGAGTGGTGGGCCGTCGGGAGGGTACTGGCGAGCCCACTCGGGCGAGCCCTCCTCCCTCCCCCTCGCGGCGGCTAGCTCGGGGTCATGTGCGGCTCAGCCCGCTGGCGCTGTGTCGCGCGTCGAGGGTGGCGGATAGGCTCCCCGGAGCGAGCGGCGGAGGCCACGCGGCAACTCGCGGGGGCAGGTCCGGGCGGTTTCCCCCCCTCCGAGGGGAGGGCCGGTGTGGTCGTACGGCGTCGACGGGGCGGGCGGACGCCGTATGCCGGCGTCCCTCTGGGGGCGGCGGGAGTTTCGCGAGGGTCGGCAAGGCGCGGGTCAGCAGGTTGGGCGTTGCCGCGCGCAGGAGGGTGGTCCGAACCAGCCCCCCGCACGTCTCGGGTGTCCCCCCACTGACTCGCGGATGGGGGTTCGCTCCGAGCTGGGCCGCGGAGAGTGTCGGTCGGCGGTCCATGACGCGCCGCCTCAGGGAGGGTCCGCGATGGGGCCACTTCGGGCGCTTGGGCGGATGCGGGTAGGTGACAGGGCCCTGGGGCGTGCCGACGCGTGACGCGTGGAGGGCGGGCGAGTGGGTAGGCGGGTGCGGTCCTGGCCGCACGGACGGGCGATGGGGGGAGCTCACACACATTCGGGTCAGTCGGAGGGGGGGGGGCGGGAGTCGAGTATCCCGGTCTCGGGGCGCCCCGGTCCGAGGACGCTGGGAGGGTCCATGGAGGGGAGCTCGCGATCTCCGTCCGCGCTGGGCGCGGACGGGTGGCATCGGTTCAAGGGACGGGCGCGGGCGCGGCTCTGGCGGCTCGCGCCGCGCTTCCCCCTCCGGGACATCGGCTTTCCCCTAGACGCTCCGACGTCCGCCGGCGCCCCTCGGGGTCGCGTCGTGCAGTGGAGCCCTCCGCGCTACGCGGTTTCGGGCCGCGGGGCGGCTCTCCGGGGGCGTCCTCGTGTCGCGCGACCTCGGGACGTTCCCCTCCCGGCGGCGCGATCGACGGGGTCGCGTGTCGGGCTGCTGGTGGGGACGGACGCTCGCGCGGGCTCGGTCGGTCCCGCTCGTCAGCCGGGTGTCTGGGAACCGGCCGGCTGGGGGGTCCATTCCCCCACAGGGGCGAGTTACAGCCGTCCTGGGTCGGGGTGAGCGCCGAGAGGCGGGCGTCACGGGACGTACGCTCGCAGCGCGGTGCGCCGCGCGCGCTTGCTCAGACGATGGAGCACGGGGCCTCGACTGCTAGGAAGGGCGCCGTGCGCGCGATCGCGACTGGTCGCTCGGGGCGAATGTTCCCGGGCTCGGGAACTCTGGGTCGGGGGGTGAACACGGCGGCCCAACATATATCCCCACGCGCGGCGGGTCTGGGCGGGGATGGGGGGGGGGTCCCGGGGGGTGAGAGGGCGGGGGGGGGTCGAGGGGGTGCGGTGCTCGGGCGGCTGGAGGGGTCGACGGGATGGGGGGGCTCGGTGTCGCGCCTCGGTGTGTGGGGAATACGCCCGGATCGGTGTCGGGGTGGGCGGCGTCGCCGCGCTTCGCCAGGGAGCCTGCGCGCGCGGCCCCCTCGCCGGGCACGGTCCCCAGCCTCGCGGTGTCGCGGCGGTGTGGGAGGCCCCCTCCGCCCGGAGCCGGACGTCGCGGACCTGGCTCAGGCCGGGGCGCCGCGGCCTACCCCACGGCGCGGCGCGGTGGCTCGCTCGCAGGGAGGTCCCCCCTCTTCCGCCGAGCGAACTGCCTTCGGCTGGTCCCCCCCGGGTCCCCCCTCCGCGGGTTTCTTCCTCCCCCTCGCTCGCCCTGAGCGGTTTGAGCGGGCCTCGGCGCTCATGGCGGCTCGAGGGGGTCCCCCTCCCCCTCCTCGCATCCGCGGTGCGCCCGCCTCCCGGTGCGCGGTCCCGGGGGGCCTGCCCGCGGGGCGAGTCAGGGCGGACGACGCGGGGACGCCGGGGAGCGACCGGGTGGTGCATAGTTCACTGGCCGCGGGGGCGAGGCAGCGGGGCGGGGAGGGCGGTTGAGGCCTCGGAGCTCCGGCATGGGTCGTGAGAAGGGCCTCCCCCCTCCGGCGCGCGGCGGGCCCGGGACAGGTCGTTCCGACGCGGGGGCTCCGCGTGGGCGGTCCCTCGTGGGCGGCGCTATGAGTTCGTGCCCTCGCGGCCTCCCCGGGAGGCGCGGCCCTCCGAACGGCGTCGCGGCCGCGTCTCTCCCCCTCGGGGGGGCGGGCCCGGCGCTGCGGGCCACGCGTAGTTAGTCGCCCCGGCGGGCCCCGCGCAACTACGTATCGTACAAGTAGGACGACGGGTGGTGCGGATGTGGCAGCGACATTTGCGCTCTGTCATCAGTAGCAGCACGACCCGCCGTGCTCCGACCAAGTCCATTGCATAACTTGCGATACATTTGAACGATGCTTTCAGCAAATTTGTGCAGCGCACCAAGGTGAGACTGCATACACATGTACGCACTACTGCAAGTGTTGAAGTTGGCATAAGGTACCTTGCCTTTCATTGAAGTTTCGATTCCCGGTATTTTAACTGGCGGAACGTAAACATGCCCTTCCGATTTCTCTTACAACTGGTGAGTGTCAACCTTACCCAATGTTATCGCTTTATCCATTGTTCCTTGCCATGTTTGTATGCAATATTAGGCTGCATTTCTTCCTTTCTCTATGTCGCTGCGGTTTCCACTTCAAGAGGTGTAAATTGACTTAAAACATACAGGCTTGAATCTTCCCGGCGTTACTTTGTAGGTCAACAAACGGACTGGGATTTGCCGCCTCCCCACGAGCACTTCAATGTCGTCCCTATCCACACTTTTGTTCAGGCTTTACGTTAGTGGATAACGTGCAGCTGAAAGTTCAGCAATGACGTCCAAATCAGCTACAAAACCGTTGAAAAATCGCAACGTTCGTTTGATTTCTCGGTTGCTAAGCCAAATCACATTATTTCGACCCGCCGTTATAGGCATTCCTGTTAAATAAATATGTAAATAAATAAAGCTTTTTTTCAACAAGGTGATGCACGCCTTTATAGGCATGATCAGTTTGACATAACGATGCGTGATCAAAGATGTGCAAAAATCGGATATGTTTGACATAGCAGTTTATTTTTTGTAGGGGGTGTATGTATGTGCTTGTGCGCGTATGTGTATGTAGCTGTGTATTTTGTGCTTGTAGTTGTGCTGCTCCAATCTTCCATGCTTGATATCGTCATCCATATGCGAGTAAGAGATTGGTGTCCGTGGGTTGGGTAGAATTATCCGGATATCCACTAGGCAGTGACTTTATTTTGTGGCGAGTTACGACCGCCACTTCACCGTGTTGTTAAGCAGACGTTTGTGGCCTTCTATAGGGAGAACGCTTGACAGGCGAAACCCACCGCGCCCTGGAACACTGCCGCAGAACTATTTGCTGGAACGGGTTAAACCCGAACCACCCAGCTGACACCACGAAGAGCTTGTTCGGCAAGCCAAATATGATTTAAGTGCTGCAAATCCAAAGCGTTATTCCCACGAGAATTTTGCTGGACTTGCTCATACTGCATTAGCATAGATTCTTTCAGTCATAAAGTTGACACTCACTATTCGCCTTCCTGAATTAATTAAAAGACTAAATCTCAATCCAACGAATTATCCAAAACATTCCGATGGGCCTCTTGCACTCCGACTTTGCGCGGTCCACTGAGATGCCACTGTTCAAGGTACGGCCAAGCTAAATGGCTTAAGGAAAAATATTGCTAAAGGTTTTCGGGTTTTTGGAGCACCCGCCGTGTGTCTTGCATTGCGACACGCAATCTCATTAGTGGCGGCGGTTGACTTGGAAGTCAGCCTCTGCCAAAATGTTTACTGGGACCGTCACCGAAGTGGAGGGTTTCGGTGTGGCTCTCTCCTATCCCTGCACTCCACGACCGAAGGTTTCGTCTTGGTTTAGACTCATCAGGTAGAGATAGTTGAGCTAGGATTGGAACCCGAGGCATAGTGCTCGGTGGATATCGCCATGATCACTAGGCCATTGAGTTCCGAGAGCAGTGTTTGACACAGGGGTTAGAAGTAGATTTTCGGGTTTTTCGGAGCACCCGCTGTGTGTCTTGGATTGCGACACGCACTCTCATTAATGGCGGCGGTTGACTTGGGAGTCAGACTCTGCCAATACGGTTAATGGGACCACCCCCGAAGTGCATGCTGCAATACAAGACACACGGCGGGTGCTCCAAAAATCCCGAAAATCTACTTCTAACCGCTGTGTCAAACACTGCTCGCGGATCTCATTGGCCTAGTGATCATGGCGATAGCCACCAAGCACTAGGCCTGGGGTTCCAATCCTAGCTCAGCTGTCTCTACCTGATGAGTGTAAACCAAGACGAAACCGTCGATTGTGGAGTGCAGGGATAGGAGAGAGCCACACCGAAACCCTCCACTTCGGTGACGGTCCCAGTGACCGTA